CGAACGAGATGAGAATCCTTAGAAAGCCTCGCCTTGAAAAGAAAAACAAGCCAAAGAACAAAGACAGAAACAAAACCCGGGTGCGTGTATAGACGTGCACGTAGCACGTCCGGAGCGTGCAGTCGTGGGGGCGAGATGCTCTTCCCCAGCAGCCCGCATGCTCAGAGACGCAGCACAGAAGAAAGCAATTTAGCGTTAGCATTGAAGTTAATATCACTGAAAGCAAACCAAATGTTCCTATCCACCAGAGCGTGGAAAATTCATCCTGTTTTGGTGCCGGTCCCTGGCTTCAAATTAGTAGATGTCCCAACCCTTCACTTTCTTTCTTTATCATTTTCCTTCTTATCTCTTATTTTTATATTTCAAAATTGTACTTTAATTCTGCCTCGCGCCCTCCCCCAGTGTAAAGGCGTGGGATGGAGGTGTGATTCCCGCCCACCCGGCCCCACCCTCCTCCCCTCCTGTTGCAGGAGGTGGCACTGCCACTAGGCTTGTTTCAGGAGATGGTTTTCCCGCCACACGGGCCACACTCGTGGTAGCTTGCCTTCGGGACCGAACGGTGCTGACCGTCATGGTCCTGGTGCTGAATTGGGGCTCACGAGCATCCATTACTGTCCCCCATTGGGAGATGAAGGGCACGTCTAACATGCAGCTTACACACCCAAAGCCCAGCCCTCTGGTTTGCATTCAGAAAAGTAACGCCATTGGAAATCCACCTGCCACATCAAGAAGGGCTCCTAATTATCCCAAAGTGGAGACAGGGAGGGGACAGGGGTAGGTGAAGAAAAGGGGATTAAAAAAGAAAATCAACATTCAAAGAAAGGCACCTACCATGAAATAGACACATGGCGTCTGCCCTGCCCCCAGGAGGTAAAAAAGACTTCGGCCAGTCAGCAGGAGATTTCAAACCATTTCTCAGACACGAAGGCCACAGGAATCAGATGCCGATCAGAAGAGGAAGGTCTGCAGCAAGCAGAAAAACGGGTTTGTGCATGCTGGTGTGTAACCCGCCGTGGGCAAGCCGACCAGGCCTGCTCTGGACAGCCACTTCCTGAGAAGAGAACCCAGGAAGGACATGCCCCACTCGGGCCCACTGGCCTCGGGCAGGAAGGGACCCCCTCCCCGCGGCTGGGGAGAGGTCTTCATTTGCTGACACCCACAGCACACCAGGACTCTGATGTGGAGGCCAGAAGGCTGGTGGTGTTCCCCTCACCACCTACCCCCCGAGTTGTGTCATCTCCAGAATTTAGTTTTTGAATTTGCAGGACAAGCCCAGAGCCCAGGGTCTCCACCTCTGATGGCAGAGACGTGATGCATTTCGTTGCACGTGACAGAAAGGACAGGACCTGCCTCCTGAAATGTCTCCCCCATATTTCTTCACCGTTGAGACTAAGCTACCATTTCCCAAGGCCAGTGAGATCCCACAGAGCATCACCTTGGGCCAAAAAGCAAAAACCTGACACTTCCATGCCAGGGCATGAGAATGCCTGCTCCATGCTTGGACAGGGCACATCACACCACACGGCACAGAGTGGCAGAAAACCAAACAACGAGGACCAACCCACAACCCTCCCTCCCTCCCCCAAAAGGCCAAAGCCCTGGTGGGCCAGGGTCCATATCTGAACTGACACACATACGTTCAATGAAACGGTTTGAAAATCCTTTTGCCAATTCTTTGTCAACTCCGCATTCTGGAAGCCTGAGATGCCACCACCAAGCTCCTCAAATGTCTGAGTGTGAAATCAAAGAGATTCAGGACAATAGCCCTGAGCCCCTCTGTCCTCCACTGGAAGGGAAGGAGTGTCTGAGGACAGAGTGCTGCAGAGTCCACGAGGCGCCATGAGAGGAGGCGCAGAAGACCCCTGCTCGTTCCAGCTGCCAGCATAGGACACACTGGTTGCGGACTCGGCAGATGCCCCGCATGCCTCGATCACCGGGGTCCTGCTTTCCTGCCTCGAACAATCGGCAAACAGCATAGACGTGAGCACGCTGCCCACCCTTTCCCAAAGTGAGCCCCGTCGAGCTGCCTCACCCTTGGTCCCATACCAGGGGGAACCCTTTAGGAGACCCTGGGCAGGGTCCCTCAGCTGCTAGCAGTGAGCCCTTGAAGGCAGCCTCGTGGCCTACTCACTTCTTCCTATGATATTTAAGTTGTTGGAGGTTTTATTTTTTAATTTACAAAATGATGCATGAGCAAACACTCGCTTAAAAAAAATACCTTATTGATATTTTAATTGAATTCTGGACAAACCTTCAGAAGCTGGCTCAAGGGTTTATGAAACGTTCCCAGGGGTGGTTGTTGGGGTCTGTCTCCTTTGAGGGATTACACATGAGTAATGAAAAAGAGCATTTAATAAAAACATTTGGTCTGGGAGTCTGGTTGGAATTTGGTATTTTTGCTAGATTTGCTGCTGACATTTTATTGATGGGTGCTCAAAGATCCTGACTCTGGGAGGGACCAGTTGTAATTTGCTGATATTCTGGAGGCCAATTTGGACTCTGCAGGATTACGGCTGGCCGCACGGCCTCGGTGGTGTGTAGCCAGGGCTGGGGAAGGCGCGCTTCCATCCGCCGCCCAGGTTTAGGGTCTGGAAGGGAACGCTCGCTGCTGCATTCTTGGGGTGGCAAAACACCTGCTGATCTATACCCTGCCCCTCCTGTTTTGCCAAATCAGCTTCCTGCATCTTCTGGGCTCCTCAAAGCGATCTAAGGAATGACTTACACTGACCAGTAGCCCTAAGCTGGGCCGTGCCCGGCTCTGGGGTCTGGGCCACCAGGAGCTCCATGACTTCGGGGCCCGAGCCTGAGCTTACCGGTTTCCATTAAATGTGGACTTGTACTCCCCCGTCGGGTGCAGCGTCTCATCCGTGTACACGGGCGCCGATGCCCTGACACACTCGTGGGAACACTGGAGGGTCTCATTGTAGGCCGTGAATATGTCCAGGCTGCTGGGCACCCGGGCAGGGGTGAAGTCGGTCAGGTTCTGGCAGCTCTCTTCCTGCTGGTTGGTCTTCCTCTGGTGGCTGTTCCGACGAGTGTTCCTGCTTTGGGCACAGCTGGAAGAGAGAGAGGCTGGGGTGGGGGGCGGCCGAGGCCAAAACCCACCAGCGCAGCTCCAGCGTTTCAACGGTGGAACCCTCGCTTCCAGGCATTAGTTATACCGCATTTAATATCAAGTGGTAATTCCCAACCTCTCAGAAAGATCAGCCACAATCAAGCAATCTGCTCTTTTTAAAAATTTATATATAAAATAAAATTTGAATTTTAAATGCGGCCATTATCAAAGGAAGAACTATGAGGTAAGCCATCGAGCTGTGTCGTCGCAGAGCTGGTGCCTTGTTTGGCTGAAGAATGTCAGCCAGACAGTGCGCTGCTGACTCGGTTTCCCCATTAATGCCTCGTGGGATGAGAACTGTGGTGGTTGCTGGCTGCTAGAGGGGCCTTGAGAGTGCGGGAGCCTTTGGGCACAGGCTGGGGTAGTCCGTGCCTTCACTTCAGAATGGACATGCCACTGTCTTTGGGGACAATTGATAAGGTGGGAACCCCTGTCCACATGCACAAGCTGGAAATGATATGGGATCGTCCTCTGCCCCCATAGGGTCTACTAAGGGAACTGTCCTGCCTTCCAATGGACACCTGCCTTATTTTCCTGTTCCTCTGGACCAGAGAGGCTTCCAGAGGCCACTTAGGATGAATGTGGGAATCCCACTCTCGTCAGTCGAGGGATTTGACCACAGGGGTCTTCAGGGACATCCCTGGATGCCACTTATAAGACAAGGTCACAAGAAGGTCTGGAGGGGTGGCAAGGAGGAAACTCCCCTCAGCTTGGGGAGCCACGCAATCTTCCCTCGGTCAGGATACCATCTCCCCTTCCCCCGATGCTCAGAGCTGCTGTGGAAACAGGGGTGCAGGGGGCAGGGGCTCACGGGCCTGTTTCCTCACAAATCTTGGTATTCCCAGTGAGACGGATCCTGACTCCTGGGGTAGAAACCCCACCCCAAAAATGAAAGTGAAGGGGTGAATGCAGAAGCCAGAGGCCAGCTGCACCCCAAAAGTCTTTCTGCAGGGGAAGGCCAGGTTCCTGGAACCCACTCACCCACCCCCAGGCTGTTCTCCCTGAAGGGCTCTTTGAAGGTTTGCTGCAAACCCCAAAGTGTTAGAAAATGAAGGAGAAGGCCTGGCTGCCTGTCACCCATGGGCCACAAAGTCTGCCATCTCCTTGGGAGAGATGAAGCTGCTCATCAAGATGGGATTTGTGTCGCCGGACACACACTTGGTCTAGGAGTCCTGGAGCCCCTCCTCTGGCCAGCACCTGCCTAAGAAGCTCTGCTATGAACTTCTCTGTGGTCCTTGCCACCTGTCCCCAGAAAACACCAGGGACCCAGTTTGCTGGCCATCAGGAGGCAGCTTCAAAGTCTCGCTGGGTGGGCAGGAGGTTTGTTCTGGGGCTGTGCCACCACCTGTCACTAGGTCCCACCTGCTCTGATCCCAGAGCTTGGCTTTGTCTCCCATGTCTACATGTTTCCCTGTTATTCAGAAGCTCAGGTGCTGATTCTGCCCATCAGCCCTGCCTGTGTCCATATTACTATCTGCAGGCAGCGTGGGGATCACTTGGGTCTATTACTCCACAAGGGAATTTCGGCTTTGATGCTAAAAGGAGACACAGTTGCTACAGAAGCGGCTGCAGGCAGGTGGAGGCAGGGTCACCCAGCAGCTCCTGACTTTCTCAGGGGTGTACCAGGTATGTACACCCAGTAAGGCTGTCCTAAAGTAGGCCAATTTCCAGGCAAAGCCAGGCAGCCTGGAGCAAAGCGGTAACCTAGTTCAGAGACAGAGTGGCGGAGAGAGGAAGGAGGGTTGCAGAAGAGGCTGGCCGCGCAACCGGCCACCTGAGACCGCGAGGGGCTGGTGCACGATCCTACCAGGCTGCTGGCAGGGAGGCCGCTGTCCCTGCTTTTCCAGGGAAGGGCCAGAGGAAATAAGCAATGGGGACCGTGCTCTGGGTGGGCAGCATCCAAGGGTACACTTGGATCCAGAGAAAGAATTCGGAGACAGGAAGAGCATGCAGCCTGAGAAACGATGGAATGAAGGCTGGGCTTGCTGGCTTTCTGTGGAGAAAGCCAGGGGGAGGGGGCCATGCCCCAAGGGCAGTGTCGGAGAGCTGCAGCCCTGGGGCGGAAGGCTAGCAGAGTGCAGGGCAGGAGAAGCCTCGCAGGGCTTTCTCTGGCCCAAACCGATCAGACGGTTCCCATTCCCATGGCTGTGATTCATCCAGGGCTACGCACCTCCCTGGGGACCCTACAGCCCCCCATCACCAGGCCAGGAGGGCCTGAAGAGCCTTACCAATTTTTTAAGACAAGAGTTGTGATCAGAGCAGCTATGACCATGATGAGGGAGACGGTGATGGTGATGATCTGATGCACAGCCAAACCTGGAAAGGAGGAAACGGGAGAGGGCAGGTGTGAAACCAGGCCCAGGCATGAAACAGAGCTCCGTCCTCCCAACCTGGGTGCCCTCGAGGGGACCCCGTGGGATACGACAGGCCCCCAGGCCCTCCTTCCCACTGCAGCCAGCTGCTGGTAGGTGCTGCGGGCACCAGGGTCAAGCCAGGGTGGCTCCTCCAGCTCTGGACTCGTTCCTTCCCACTAAACTGTGTACCTGAGCTGTGACCCGGCCCATGGGTGGTGGTGTCCTTTCTTGAACCTGCCAAGCCCTTCACCTGCTGCCTTTACCAGGCTGAGACATCCCTCGAGGACCTGTCACCCACTCCTTCCTCCTCTTGCACCCTGGGTGAGCTCTGATCCTGGATTCCAGAGGTGTGAGCACCAGGGCAGCTGGCCTGTGAGTGGGAGCAGGTTTGGCCTGACCCAGAAGAAACCAGGATGACCTGGGACTTACTGGGAGGAGGTGGGGAAGAGGGGCATGTGGTCCAACATCCTTGCAGACCCGGGGCCATGAGTATCATTGGGTGGCATATGCCTCTTTCCAGAGTCCTCTCCAATAAGTTCACGGCATGATGAGTTTCCAGGAATAAAAGATCCAGGCCAGCAGAGGATGCTTCCCAAAGGGGGATCCACAGTCTGGCCCCACTGCCCTGCCCCTATTCCCTGGCAGGGAAGGGAAAGGGGAGGGACAGTGGCATCAGCAGGACAGGGACAGAAGGACTGGCCACATCTGCAGCAGGGCAGCCAGAGCCCTGACCAAGAGCTGTGGGGTAACCATGCATGTGCATGGCAGAGGACAGGAATTCTCTCCCACACCTTCTCCCTGCCTCCGCCCCTCCTGCAACATCTGCCCCCGACCACCGGCCCAGGCAGGGGAGGGGAGAAGGCAAGCTTGTTACAGCCCCCTCCCCCGGCTCTACCCCAGGCCACATTGCTTCCTGACCACACATCTGTCATGTCCTTCCCAGGACCTGGACACTAGGAGCCTCCCCTGGCTGATTCCACTGGCCAGTCAGGGCCAGCTGGAAGGTCCACAGCCCTGGCTCTGTCCTCTGGCTGTTAGCAGGAGCCACACCTGGGGAGCTGGAAGTTAAAGGCAGTGAGGTAGGTTTGTGGAGCCTGCGGAGCCTGCAGGGGTAGTACCATGCCCTGTCGAAATGCTGACGGCCCATCCTGCCTCCACCCCAATCTTAATGCCCACCTTGTGGAGGCACACCCCTCATAGCTGGCCAAACTGGTGGGCTGCTGGGTGACAGCACCATGCATGTATGCTCCAGGATGGCAGATTTCAGACAGTCAGGATTTTTCTGGTGGCCTCCCAAGGATACAGTCTCACAAACAGGTGTTAACCTCTCTACCAAACAGGGTCTTCATGCGGGAAATTATCAATAACTGATTAAAGGTGTCCACGACCAGAAGATGAGCTTCATCTCTCTATCTCCCCTCCTTTCTGGGCTACTGCTGTTTGTCATGAAGGGTTCCCATCCTGAACCCACAGGGTGAGCACCACTAGAAAGACTGTGGAGGAAATATCCGAGTGGCATGGGCCTCCCTTTGTTCATTTGTTACCCATTGACTCAACCACTGCTGGTTTTGCTCCTATCGTGTGCCACACTGCACCAGTGGTGACCAACTAAACCAAGTGCCCACCCTCAGGAAACAGCTGCTCTGGTGCCATTTTTTTAAAGATGCAGCATTTACTACTATTTCTGGCCAATGGCCTTCCCATACACCTGTGCCAAATTTGTGGCATCTGCTGAAAACTTCTGGACGAGTCTCCCTCTCCTCCAGGATGACAAATCAGTTTGCCAGTGGGATTGAAAGCTAAGTTATGCCACAAAGACCACCCTCAGTCTCACCAACAATGGAACGTCCATCAGCCCCAGTAATCCCTTCCTATTATTCACCAGGTTCTCTGAGACCTAACAGACCTGGAGAGAGAAAGGGTAAAAAAAACGTCCAGCTTAATAGACAATCCTGGAGGGGTGGCTGCCTGCTCGGTCTCCTGTTGCCTTCTAACTGTACAATTCCTCTGGCCCAGTCAAGATACAGCCATGCTGTCATGAAAAATATATACTTATACTGTTTCTGTACTTCATATGATGAGAACGAGGCTGCTGCTGATGGTAGTGTTAGTGATGATGATGGTAAGGAAGAGGAGGATGGTGAAGGTGACTATGATGAGGATGCTGATGATGATGGTGATGATGGTGATGATGGGGTGATGATGGTGATGATGATGGTGATGATGATGATGGTGATGGTGGTGATGATGATGATGGTGATGATGGTGATGGTGATGGTGGTGATGGTGGTGATGATGGTGATGGTGATGGTGATGGTGATGGAGATGATGATGGTGGTGATGATGTGATGATGATGATGATGGTGATGATGATGGTGATGGTGATGATGAGGATGATGATGACGATGGTGGTGATGATGATGATGATGATGGTGATGATGATGGTGATGGTGATGATGAGGATGATGATGACGATGGTGGTGATGATGATGATGATGATGGTGATGATGATGGTGATGGTGATGATGAGGATGATGATGACGATGGTGGTGATGATGATGATGATGATGGTGATGATGATGGTGATGGTGATGATGAGGATGATGATGACGATGGTGGTGATGATGATGATGATGATGGTGATGATGATGGTGATGGTGATGATGAGGATGATGATGACGATGGTGGTGATGATGATGATGATGATGGTGATGATGATGGTGATGGTGATGATGAGGATGATGATGACGATGGTGGTGATGATGATGATGATGATGGTGATGATGATGGTGATGGTGATGATGAGGATGATGATGACGATGGTGGTGATGATGATGATGATGATGGTGATGATGATGGTGATGGTGATGATGAGGATGATGATGACGATGGTGGTGATGATGATGATGATGATGGTGATGATGATGGTGATGGTGATGATGAGGATGATGATGACGATGGTGGTGATGATGATGATGATGATGGTGATGGTGGTGATGGTGGTGATGGTGGTGATGATGGTGATGGTGATGGTGATGGTGATGATGGTGATGGTGATGATGTGATGATGATGATGATGGTGATGATGATGGTGATGGTGATGATGAGGATGATGATGACGATGGTGGTGATGATGATGATGATGATGGTTGATGGTGGTGATGATGATGATGATGGTGATGGTGATGATGAGGATGATGTGATGATGATGATGATGGTGATGATAATGACGGTAATGATGGTGATGATGATGATAATGATGGTGATGATGATGATTATGATGGTGATGATGATGATGATGATTATCATGGTGATGGTGATGATGATGATGGTGATGATGATGATGATGGTGATGATGATGGTGATGGTGATGGTGATGATGATGATGATGATGATGGTGATGGTGATGATGGTGATGGTGGTGGTGATGGTGATGATGATGGTGGTGGTGATGGTGATGATGATGGTTGATGATGGTGATGATGATGATGATGGTGATGGTGATGATGAGGATGATGTGATGATGATGATGGTGATGATAATGATGGTGATGATGATGATTATGATGGTGATGATGATGGTGATGGTGATGATGATGGTGATGGTGGTGATGATGGTGGTGATGATGATGGTGATGATGGTGATGGTGATGATGATGGTGATTGTGATGGTGATGGTGATGATGAGGATGATGTGATGATGATGACGATGGTGGTGATAATAATGATGGTGGTGTTG